GCCTGCAGACCACTACACCACGAAGGCACGCTAAGAAGGCGGGGGGAAATACCTTATAAACTTTTCGGAACGAAATTTAAGAATTGCTTTTACATTCCTTTCTAGAAATTTAAATAAATTTCCTTAAATCTTATGTTTCAAATCTGCATTTATTAGTAGAATAATATCTATTACAATAATATCTATTACTAGTAGAATAATATTTCCATCCTCGCATCATTCTTTATTTCATTCATCTGAATAAGAACTTTATTTACGGCAATTGAAAAAGTGTCTCAAATACTGCAAACAAGGAGAAACAATATAATGGACGAATATAAAACAGATTTTAGTGTATTGTTAACTGTAGTAGAAAATATAATGAATAGTATCTGTAGAAGGGCATATAATAAGGATTATATAGTTGTTTACACTATTTTTCAAAGTCGTCTAAACATATCTTTAGATCGCTTTAGGATGCAAGATAACATGCTACAAAAAGAATGGTCGTGTGTTCCACCTGGAAAGTAAATCGCGGAAGAAGCTCCAAATAGGAAGTCTTTTCTGTTTACACACTGTTTTCCGCTGTTCGCGTTGGTGCAGATCTTCTTTACTTCCCCACTTTTATGGTCTTCCCATAATGGAATGTTTTTGAATCACTACTTTTCTTAATAGGCATGTTTGTTTTTCCAGTAGTCTTTTTTCTTCTTCCTGAAAGCTTATTCCTTCCAAAAGCTCGAGGCCTCTTATGCTCCAACAGGAAGTCACTTACTTACATGTCAAGGCATTTTGCTAGTGGTTCAATTTTTTTATTTACATTTAACTGTACGTTTTGTATAATGGAGATGAATTTTATTACTCCGACGCATTGCGAATAAGCATAATATACTATGCATAAAATATTGAGAATTGATATTCTTATCATTAAAATACATAAATAAATCATATTGTCCCATTGCCATGTAAAACTATTTTGTATTTCTTCTAGGTGATGATGTACGAAACTACCTGTACAGGCGACTATACTTAAATGAATCAGCTGGTCTGGATTTGGCCGCCGCCAGTATTGTAAGAGGCAGAGACCACGGAATTCCAGGTTACACGTACTATGTTGCCTATTTCTTCAACATCACTATTCATGATTTTAACGACTTGAGGAAACTACTTCCCGATAAATCTGTGGACCTCTTGGAGGAGCTCTTTGAGTAAGCAATATGTTATTTAATATCTTCTGCGTATCTTTAGGATACAATACTTTATTTCAGCTTCTTATAAACAATTTTATTACATTTGAAATGTTTCATTGCATTTGAAATGTTTCATTTTGATCGATAATTTGAAAAACAGCATTCACCACAATAGAAATGCCATTCCTCGTCGTGTTCAAATTGAAATTTTTTTTAAATTTTCCCAATCCATAAATAATTTAATCTATAAATCTATAAATTTTTAATTTGATTTATAAATATTAAAATTCTTTGCATTTTACATAAATTCCTGGGTTAATAAATTAAAAACTGCTATTAATATTTCTGTTGTCGGCACGGGAATTAGGCTTGCAAAAATATAAACTTTATATAAATTTTCAGCCCAAAATTACATTAGCAAGAATGGGCTATAAGTCTCGAAACGGGATTTTGAATCGCCCACTGTAAACAGTGAAACATTTTTCAGTTTTTGCCGCTAAATACTGTCACTCTCTATTATTCATTAATCAAACATAATTGTTGTAATTACATAATAAAGAATCTGCATGTATGTATGTATGTTCCTCGAATTGTGAAAAAACAACGGTACATACAACCATTAAATTTTGAATAATTTTGTACTGCGCCCGAACATATGCACTTGGAATCCCGAATTTTGAATTTCGAATTTTATATTTCATATTTTATGAAACTTTAATTAATTTTTGATTAACAAACTCAGCGATTTGAAAATGAGTAGTGGCAACAATGTACGGAATAAAACATTTTTATCTCCAGCGCGCGCGACTGTCTGTCGGAAACTCTAAAGATATGCTCTTTTCAAATATTTTTGATTTTGCAGAGAATTGAAGTTTATGTGATGTAAGTGCAAAGAACGTGATATCTAATAAATAAATTTTTACACACAAAACGCTAATAATAAAAAAGCACAAAAAGAATCTGAAAGCTTTCAGATTTTACATTAGGCCCAAAGGGTCGTTAATTTAACGTTTTGTATGTTACCTTTATTTATTAAATATCATGTGCTTCACACTTAAACCATAAAATTCAATTCAACATCAATATCACAAAATAATTTTAAAAAGAGCAAAGTTTTAGAATTTCCGATACACAGTCTCGGCGCGCTGGAGATAATGTTTTTTTTTTTTTTTTTTTTTTTGTTTTGTTTTTTGCTGCTGCTGCTGTTGTTTTGTTTTTTTCCGTAGATTGTTGCCATTGCTCGCTTTGAAATCGTTGAGTTTTTTAATCAAAAAATCGTTAAAGTGTTACAAAAATGAAATCGACAATAAAACAATTTAAAATTCCAAATTTAGGCTTCCAGGTAACCATATTCAGTAGAAGATTACGTTATTCAAAATTTGATGGCTCTAGGTACCGTTTTCTTATCCCAATGCGAGAAACATACATACATTTATGTAGAGTCTTCATTATTTATTTCTTTAAATATAACACAGGGGGATAATATTTGGTGGGCAACAATTTGAAAAGTGAACAGACATTTAGACATTTAGAGTGAACCAACGCAAAATGCCAAAACGAAATGACTTCAGGGCAAATTACCTTTTGGGCTAAAAAGTTTTATAAACCATCTTATTAAGAAAACTAAACATTGATATGATGGACTGATAAAAGATTGAAAAAAATAGAAAAACATTATGCCAACACTTAACACTGTGCTGAGAATTCTACGCATATGTTTCTTTTAAGATTTTGTAATTTTGCTGTTGAAACGTGAATCACATATGGCATAAATGCGAAGAAAAGAGTGCTTAATAATATAGCTAGCAGGAAAAATCTGAGCTCTTTCAGATATTTTTTTCATTTTCAAGGTCTAAAATAGAAACGTTCAACTCTTGTAGATGAATTAATCTGTAATGCACGCTTCCATTTTGGTGATAAAGCGATAAAGCTTCTATTAACTTAAATTGCCACACTTTTTACTCATTCTGTTACACTGTTTGTAACTTAAATCAATATTCCGTCTTAGCAAAAATTAAAACTGTTGTTACTTAAATGGCGTTAATTGCATTTAATCATGTAGAACAAAACATTTTTATGCGACTTACTTAAGAAAGGGGCGAGGAACGGTTTCAGAACTCGCTTTTTGCATTTAGCTCAAATTCTATAGAATTAAAAAAGAAATAATTTAACTACATCGTGTAATACCAATTAATATATTATCATTTTTTAAGAAGAAAATTAATAACTCATATTTAATACTATATACAAATATGACGTTTATCAATGATTTAAGCTTTGTATACCTCATTATGTCGTAATTTATTAAAAGTATAGCTACAATGTGCTTGTGCTAAGGTTTTAGAAGTGCTGAACCCCATATATGTAATCACGATTTTGAGGTTTTATAAGCGGCCGGTGTTTATTATTATAAAGTTGTTTCAGAATGCTTTTTTCTATTATTTTTTTCCTCTTTTAAAGTGTAGACTCAGAGAAATTAGTAACATATTTTGTAATAGTTAATGCTTTTTTTTTTCGAAACTTTTATTACCAGTGCAATTTTTGAAGTGGCATCATAGATTATAAATTACACGAATTTCAAATATTCATTTGTGATGCTTGAAATGATTTTAGCCAAATTTTCTAGGCCTTTACGTAACATTACATTCTTATGCTATGTATTATCGAATGGACCTAGAGGGTACTGTCATTGCCCAAGTTATACAATCTTTAATTTAGTTACTGCGCGGCCTGGAAAATAGCCAGTTTCTCAAATTTTGCCTCTCAGTGTTGTAAAAATCTTTAGTTTGTCTTCCAAATTATAGCTGCATTCCCTAAAAAATGAAGTGATTACAAAGCATTAAACGCACTTTAATTTTAATTTTAATTATACTTATTACTGATGCAATTTAAAATACATTAAATTTATAATGCATTCAGACATCAGTATTAACATTTGCAGTGTTATTTTAATTAATAAAAGGTATTCCTAGCGCCTGTTATTACATATCTCTGTCCAGATTTGTTTCATTTTTATGGTATGTAATAGGCAGTAAAAGTTTCGCAGCTTCTAAAAATAGCGCAACATTTTTAATATTTTTGAAAATGTACATATAAGATAAATAAAAAAGTTTAACAAATTAAATGCTAAAGTAAATAAGATAAAATATATAAGGCATTTTATCTTAAATAAATTATATTACATATAGAAGAATGGGGATCGCAATATTTGTGTATGCTTGACATTAAAAAAGCTAGTTTCGTAATGAATCTTTAAGAAACAAATAACTTAATTAAGTTTTGTATGTGTTTAGCTTTGAATAGCTACAAGTAACACTCTTTTTACAAGCTATACATTTTACGAGCATAATAAAATTAAATCAGTCCTGACAATTAAAGTTTACTTAAAATTATCTGTAATTAGAGCTTTTTGATATACAGCACAGACTTTCAGAGAAAAATAGTTTAATCAAATATTTGACCATAGTTCTGAAAACGGGTAAAAAAAAATAAATTTAGGAATTTTTTATTTGGAAAAGTAAAGAATTAAAAAAACGTTATGAAGAAAAGGGGCTTGCCATGTGTAGGAAAACTCAAAATTAATTCTTGCTTTAGTTTCTAGAATAAAGACTTATTTTCTTCAGAACACAACAATTAATATACCTTGCAAGCAGCTATTTGACTTAGCAAATAGCTTTAAGACCAAAGAATATTAATAATTCAACAAACTTCTGATAAACCGTTGAATGCATGAGAGGTTTCGACGATTTTGCCATGTGTAGTATGAATGGGAGCCTGTTTACCTTAAAACTCCTCCGAAAAGGTACATTCCTCCGAAAATCACGCAACAGTAAAAGTGTTGCGCGATTTAAACAAATAAGGCCTGGCGTGTTTATTCAAATAGACCTAGCTGCTTTCTGTTGATAAATACTTAAGAGTTTAGCAAAAGCACACTTGTTTCAAAAATCGACCAGTGCTTTCCATAAATATGTACAGTTTCAACTGTACTCTTATCCTGTAATCTTATTTAACTGTACTCTTATAATTTATTCACAAATTTAATTTTCAGATCTGTACATGATGTGGATGTTTACTCAGCGGGATTGGCAGAGTACTACGTACCAGGAGGATTTGTTGGACCCACATTTGGTGCTGTTTTAGGACAACAATACAAAAGACTCAAATTTGGTGACAGATACTGGTTTGAACATGCTCATCAAGCAGGATCCTTCACACCAGGTACATAATGTTTTCCAATACGCATTTTGTCAAATAATAATGAAAATGCATAATTATCATTAAAGGTTATTTTTTTCTAAGATGAAAATACATACACATATATACATATATATATGTTATATTTTGAATGCGTAGAAGAAAAAACTGGAAGTTGCAACAGATTTCGATATTCATCATGGCTGGTGGTTAAGGCATACGATGAAGTCAACCAAACTGAGTTTCGACAAATCACCCATCTTTATTTCCGAGCATACCAAATCATTTTCTTAGTAGATAAAATATTTCTAGATCATACGCAAGTCATTTTGGATGAGTAAGCCTAACAGCAAAGCGTCTTGCCAGAAGGAAAGTTTATACAAAAATGGATGCTGCAATTCAAAGAAAAAAGGGAGAGAGTCAAAGGTTTCAGTTCGAGTTAGAAAAGTATTGGTTTACAATAATTTTGAATAGACAAGAGGTATCTGCATTAAGTGTTAGGTAACATGGAAAGATCTCGAATTTGGGCAACAGATGAATTTAGGGGGAAAGCACCAAATCTAGAATCGTTAATTTTGAGGTCGCCAACTATTTTTAAAGAAGCTATCGTATTTTGTTATATTTTACATATATGAAATGTGTTTTCTCATACATTATTTATGTTGTGCAGCCAGGGCAACAGGAATCAGACAAATTTTGGAATATAAAGTGATGCGTTTATTTCAGCATCCATCTCACAAGTGTTCCTCCTGTACCTCGAGGAGAAGCCCTATTTATATTTAGATAATTGTGCATCATGGTGCTCATCCAATCAGCGGTATTAACTGAAATCACGAGGTGACGCTATCTTCTCATCAGGAGTGATTTTAAGGACTTTATGTAATATGACAGATTTATGAGTTTGGCAATTTGGCGGGCTCCAACATGTTAATATAATTTTATAATAAAGAAAGGATTTCGCCAAAATTTAAGAAGAGGATGCAATTCAGGTAGAAAATCGCCAACACATTATTAAGCAATATTATTAGAATTTAATTTAATCAATTGATTTAAAAATATCATTACATATATAGAGAGAGGAGAGCATATTTGGTAATAGAAATCCTGATCCTATTTCGGAAAAAGGTGTAGGGTAAAAATGACAGGTGTAACGAAAATGGATGAAGTTTAATGATAGGTGTAAAGTTTTATGATAGGTTTAAAGTTAATGATAGGTGTAAAATGTCAACTTAAGCTTTATGTACGGGAATTTGAAACACGTCAGAATAATAGTGTAATCTTTAAAATTAAAATAATATTGCCATAATAGTAGCAGTAGAAAACATAAAAAGCAATGTAAATACAAAAATATTAAAATAAAAATATTAATATCTCCTGTTTACTGTTTCAAAAACAGAACTTGTCAAGGGAAAATATTTGAAACACTAAACCTGATCCTTAAACCTTAATGAGTTCCCCAATAACATGTTTCGTTCCTCTGGACAATTTCAGACTTTAAACCGTTTTAAATAAATTTCGCTTTTGAAAAATAAGAACAATTAGAATACAGAGAGTTGGTTCCGAGCTACCCCTACTTTTACATAGGTTTACCGATATATATATAGAGAGAGTGAGAGAAAAGATTAAAAATAGGTAAATAAAATTATAACCTAAATTAGCGATAGCTGCTTCATGCTTCATTTTAATTCGGGTATTTATCCTTTCTGTTATAGGTAACTGCAAATGAAAGGTAATAACAGTAAACCCATACCTTCTGAACTTTTACTATTATGTTCATAGCGTTAAAAAGTACTTTTAAAAAGCAAATTACTGTATTAAGAACTTAAGAAATGTGATGCGATTATTCAAAATAAATACTGATTGTAAAAATTTTATATTTGTGATATTGCGTGAAAGTCTTTGAAAAGCCTTCCTTGAACAAGTATGATTATGGGGATTCTAAAAACAGACTTGAAAATTTTAATAGGACTTGAAAATATTATCAAAGTTAATTTTTTATCAAAGTTATTTAAATAATTATATTGGTTAAAATTTTATGTTGGCTTGTGCTTTTAAAAATATATTTCTCTTCATCTGCTAATGCTTTAGTTTAGCACTTTATATCTCAAAAAGGCATTTTTGTCGCTAAGCTATTTTCCTCTTTGAGGGGGGGGGGCCATATATAAGGTAAAAATAGGTAAAAAAGATTATAAAATAAATTAGCAATAGCCCCTTTATTCTCCATTTTAATTTGGTTACTCCTCTTTCGGGCCCACCAGCGACCGAGCGGTAAAATCGCTGAACACTGGTAGTTCGGTCCGAGGTTCGAATCCCGCGAACGGGCTGGCTGCATGGGTGTTTTCGTGGTTTTTCCCATGTGTAACGTGTATACGAGCCAGTTTCCCTTAGAAAGTCCTCCACGAAGGCATCCCTTCCCTTAGGCTCCCCTAGTGTGCTTTGCCGTAACTAAATACACCACACCTACTCCCCTTTCTCTCCTAAAACTAGCAATTTTTATAACAACTTTTCCCGGATTGCGTCATTTTTAGACTAATGCATATCATATGACTGTTACACAAAGATGATGGCATAGCTAATTCAGAACTCAAAATTTTCTCAACCGAAGCTTGTATCTTAAAGCTAAGCTTCCATGTTGAATAACTACGCACTTGCTTTATGATCCTCGATCTAGTTAGACTGTTGTTACGTTGCTCATTTCTTATTGCAAACAATGTCAAAAATGCAAATGTTTTTAAGCAGGCATTATTAGAATGCTAAGTGAATTGCGGTCACAACTGTTAATTAAAATAAGTGAATATTTAATCTGGCTGCACTGGCAAGTTTCATGTGCGTTATGGATCAACACCAACGCAATCAATATTTTTGTATCATTACAACACACACACACATATATATATTTATATATATATATATATATGTAAGATAAAATTATATGAATCAGAATAACTAAAAACATTAATTCTTCCTCTCTATTCTAAAATCGTAATAACTTATCTGCATTGCGTCATTCAAATTAATCATGCAATCTTACGTAACCGTTAATACCAGATGTCTCTTGACGACCAATCACCGAATTGTAAACCAAAACTTTTCTCTTTTTTTTTCTTTTTCTTTTTTTATTGTATATAACTCTTTCTCTTTAAAAAGGCTTCTCTGTCGCTACGCCTTTTTCTTTTTGAAGGGGGGAATATGTAAGATAAAATTATATGAATCAGAATAACTAAAAACATTAATTCTTCCTCTCTATTCTAAAATCGTAATAACTTATCTGCATTGCGTCATTCAAATTAATCATGCAATCTCACGTAACCGTTAATACCAGATGTCTCTTGACGACCAATCACCGAATTGTAAACCAAAACTTTTCTCTTCGCATGCTTCCATCTTTCATAACTACGCACTTCAGCTTTTGCCCTCTATTCTGCTAAGATGTAATTTCGCTGGCTTGCTTTCTATCCCAACAATATCAAAAATGTAAATCTTCTGTGGAAAGGCACGACTAGAGTGCCAAGTGATTGTGACCACAAATATCAACTGGAAATAAAAATGGAATTAAAACTGCCTCGACTGCCAAGTTCTTTAAATACTACGCAATCAAAATTCTTCTTCAATATGGATCTAATCACGCATCTACAGTGTTCTGTCTTTTCCTTTTCCTTGTGTTTTTATTATGACATATATATAAGTAAATATACAATACATAAAAATGAATGAAAGTAAATTTTATAATTTTAATTGGCAATATCCTCTTTATCTTACAATTTAATTTCGGTACTTCCCTTTCTGTCCTAAAAATAGTAGTTTCAGAGATTAATCCGCATCACAAGACGTTATGTAACGCTGAAATGCAGATGCCTTTTATCCAATCTTTGAATAAGATTTATTTTTATTTGAGAACCGAAACTTTTTTATCCTCCCCCCCCCGTTTTCTTCTTGGGTCACCTTTCCCGCTTGCTTGGTTGCTGCTAACAAGTTGTGTCTAAATTCTCTTTGTCATAAATTGTATGTGTTAAAAGTGTGAGCTTCCAAAAATTATGGGAATTCGTGTATGATTAATGAAATGTGCGTCAACCACAAATAAAAAGGAAATAATTCAGTTCGCCCACGCCTAAAGTTTTCTTCCACTTTATGCATCTATCTATGCCATCAACTGTTACCAAGTTATTTCATTATACATATATATATATATACTTAAAATTTTTTAAAATACTATACTTAAAATTTTTTAAAAATTGTGCCCACCAGCGGCCGAGCGGTAAAGACGCTGAACACTGGTAGTTCGGTCCGAGGTTCGAATCCCGCGAACGGGCTGGCTGCATGGGCGTTTTCGTGGTTTTCCCCATGTGTAACGTGTATACGAGCCAGTTTCCCTTAGAAAGTCCTCCACGAAAGGCATCCCTCCCCTTAGGCAGATAGCCCTAGTGTGCTTTGCCATAATTAAATACACCTTTTTTAAAAATTATTTCACCAGGATTTCATACGGTGAACATCTATCACGAGCACCAAATTTAAAGCGACGCAGAACATAAATTTAGCACAGTAAGTCAACCTGAAAAATTTGTCGTTTTATGCGCTTTTTTCCATAGCACTGGCAAAGGGTTAGCCGTTAGAAGAAGCTAGTAGGTTACAGTGAGTGAGTGAGTGACGGAGGACGTGGGCACCATCCCTCTACCGTTACGGTTAATTGGTATGAGCACCACGTCCGCCCTTATCTGGAATGACATAATTAGGTACTTAGGTTATCGCTACCCATTCAGACTTGCATGGTACACATTGCCATACTCTGACTTGCACGACTATTACACATGCCGTACCATATTCGGACTTGCTTATTCATACTTGCATGGTGCATTTACATTCATATTGCATGGTACATATTTCACACATTTCATATTACACATTACATTTACTGGGAAATTGATATATGACTTATGTTTAAGGTTCTTTGCATCCGTAAGGTTCAATATTTACGTTAATTATACATGATTAGATACTTAGGTTAACTCTATGCATTCATTATTATTTACAGACT